ATATGGCAGTCTTATTAGAGGTTCTCTGTCCCATACTTAAGTAGGGGTAGTTTAGTCCTTGTACATTTAATTAGAAGCCTAATCACTATTAAGAGGTCGACTGRTWGGGTTTAGCTATYAGGTTYGACAGTTCTTTCATCTTCTTCTTCTTCTCTTCTTCTTCTTCTTCTCTTTCTCTTTCTTCTTCTCCTTACTGGTTCGGACTACTGTAGCAACAGTAGAAACACTTATCAAAAGCTTTAAATTTTCATACCACTATCTATTCTCCCCATCACAAAAAATAATGTTATCATTTGCAAACCATAGGTGAGTCACCAACACCCTATTTCTTCCCACACTACAATCTTTGATCAATTACATCCTATCTGCCCTTCAGATAAGCCTACTTAACACATCTACCACAAGAGTAGGGAGAAAAGGGGACAAAGGATCACCCTGCCTCAATACCCTAAGAGCCCCAAAAAAACTCTTCACACCTCCATTCACAATCACCAAGTAAACGACACCTTTGCAAGCAACTCCTAATCCATAGGGCTAGCAATTTTGACCCAGACTCATATGACCCACCCAACCCACCCACTTGGAAACCCAACCATATCCACCCAATTGAGTAGTGGGTCAATATGGGTCAAGTCGCCCATTTGGATAATAGAAAAAGGGTCAGGGTGGTTTAGGTCAAGGGTACCAATAAGGTCAGATGCCTCTAACTCATTGTCATTTACAGATATTCTTCTCCTCGACTCCATCAAATTGCAGTTGCAAAGAAGAGAGAAAAGCTGGTGCTATTGCTGTAGTGACCATCGACGTCAATCTCAGTACGTCTTTCTGCTTTTCCTTCTCCTTCTCCCTCTACATATTCTCCTCATCACCAGAAAAGAGATTCATGGAGGTAAGGCAAGATTTGGGGATTAAGGGTTTGAAAACGGAGGAAATGATTATTTATCATAAATAAATAAAAGCGGAGGAAATGGTTCGGAAAGTGGTCATCACAGCAGTGGAAGTGGGACAGATTTCAATTTGAGTTGGAGAAGAAAGCATCATGGCTTGAACAACTACTTCAAGAAATGACACACATTTGGTTTTCTCTTGACGAAAATGCACAGAAAACAATCAATCAATGCATCATCTCTTATATTTTTGTAACATTTGATTTTTGCATTCATAAAATTATGCATCACCTATCAAAAGAAACTACAAAACCTGTAGTATTATCACAGAACACCATAGCTATATGACCTGATTTTTTTTTACTCCATCTAATTGGTGTCTGGATATCATTTAAGAATACCATATGCCTAAATTATAAATATGGATGCACATAGGTTTTGTAGATGCAAGTATGAAAGTATAAATATAGAGCTGAACTTAAGGGATGAGAAGCACCTTTGAATCAAATAGACCTGAAGCTCTTGAGTTCTTTTGTCGAAATTCACTGGAATTATAATATGTTGGACATGTTGTACAGTAAGGATCATTGCATACTCCTAATGGCCCGGATCTCAATAAATGTTCATTCTTGTCAGCATAACTTTCAACTATCCATTCTTTTTGATCCATACCATTCTGCGAAGGATAATGTTCTTCCATAAGCACTGATTTTTTTCGATCAATTAACCCATGCATTGGCTTATTAAGGTTCTCAGGTTTCCGCGTAATATATAAAGGACCACTCATCTGCACAAATGGAGTACTTCTCTCAGTCCGTAAAGGACCAGTATAACCTACAAATTTACTTTCACTTTCATCTAACTCCATAGGTTTCATTGCTATAGACATGGATACGCTCCTGTTCCTTGATGAAAATCTTGGGAATTCAACATCCTGGCACTCATCCAATGACTGAGAATGAGTGTTTGATAACATGGGTACTTCATCCTTCTCATCACTAGTCATTTCTCAGGGACTAAACCTGTATTAAAAAGTTGAAGAAAATAAATAAGCAGAAACCCAAATTCCTATTTTATATTCATTCAAGATTTGAAGAAGCTATACATTTAAAGTATCAAGTGCCAAAATTTAGAGAATGTCATAATAGGGCAACAGAAAAGGGAGATATTGGTCAATCAGTGTCTTGTATGCATACCTGGCAAGAGGTATTGGTCAGTACATACCATGGCGTACATTTTATAATTACAAACACGCATCATTAATGTTGTAAGTAGGTGATCTATAAAATGATTTTTTTATTGTAAAGAAAAAAATCATTAACAGGTTAACAAATGCATTGGAAAATTCCTTAGCCAAGCAAGGGGTGACTAGGGAGCAACTTTTCCAGGCTAACATGTACTCAACAGATTATTGTGTGTTTGGCTTTAGCTGTGAGCCCTGTAATACTCCTAAAGTTCTAAGTTAATTCAAGTATTTGATTACCAATAACTAATATAAAGAAAAGGATACAATCTCGGGTAACCCCCCCAATCATCTTACATGCCAAGCCACTATAACTTCCATCCACCTCTCCAAGACTAACTTTATAATCCACTCAAAAAATAAAATAAAAGATAATCCATTTTAAACCATAAACTCTCACCAAATTAATTCCAAAGTTCCCCCTTCAGTATCAACTTAACATTCCAAACAGAAAACCGTTAGATACTCCACCTACCACCCTCCCCCCCCCAAAAAAAAATAAAATAAAAAAAACATCACAAGAAAATTATTTTTGAACTACATAATGGAATTTGTATGTGCAATTTTGGAATTTTTACTTGTTTTACTCTGATTTAATTTCAAGAACACTTTTCTAGCATATTCTTCTCCTCCTGAAAAGAAGAAGCTCAATTTTTTCCAACCACAACTTCTTTTTCAATCACAATGTTTAAATATATTATCTTGTTAACCCTGAAAACTTCATCAGCTTAAACATCATCATCTCCAGTCTCATCCTCTGCTACTTCATCTTCTAAACAGATCTTGTTGAGAGATTTATAGTTATTCTAGTTATTTCTATCTTCTTTTTTTAATTTCTTTGAGTTGGGCACAAAGGAGCATGATTGTCATATTACATATAATTTGGTCATGATATAAATACAATGAAGGGACACACGCCCCTACTTTTTGACTCTTCACATGCCCCTACTCTTCATCTATCTGCAGATTAGAATAGAAGAGAAGTGTCAATTACAAGGAGCAAAACAGATCTGAAAAAAAAAAAAGATATAACCATGTAAGAAAAGAAAGAAAATGGAAAAAATAAGTATTTAATAATAGGTTTGATAAATCTGGGTGGGTAGTTTGATAGATAGGATATATTTGTAGAATGGGGAGTAAAAGGGGAAAATTTTTAATATTTTGAGAAAAGGGTATTGTATTAAAAGAAGCAAAAAGATTTACAAATTCCTATTTCTCCTCTCTTTATCTCTTTACTTCCCTTATTCTTCCTTCTCTCACTCTCAATCACATAATGACATAAAGTAAGAGTCAAGCAAATAAATTTAGACTAAGGAAAAAACAAGATGGTATCAGATCAATCCAAAAAAAGTTATCAGGTGAAGCACTGAAGCCCATGCAATTTTAGGATCAACGAACTGCACGGAGAATTAGAGTTGATCATCCGTTGTGAGTTTCCTAGTTTCAGATGATTTGTAGAGAAAGCCACAACATAAGGATAACCAACCACTGTGAATATCATCTTCGAGTCTAGCCAGTGTCACCCCTGGGCCAGAAGCCTTAGGAGAGATCGTTAGGGACTCATCTGGTAAATTTCAAGTAGTAGCAGTAAACATCCTCAAAGTAGCCCATTGGCTCCACTACTCACACATAATCATTGAAGGTGATACAAACTAAAGGTGGACCTTATAAGAAATCAGCATAAACCCATATCATGTGACATGAAGCTCTACACCTTGAAAGCCAGGCAACTCCTCTCCAACTTCCAAGCGGCCATCATCTAGTTGAGAGCCCAATACGTATGCTAATAACTTTGCCAACTTTGCAGCTGATGCAGAGATTGGATTCTACTAGGACAATATCCCTCTTCCTTTACCAGTTCGCATAACATAACAAAGCCCCATTCAAACATTAAATAAAACAGAATCAAGAGCAAGAGATATGCATATTGTATGAAGAAAAAAAGACATAGTAGATAAAAAGTACCAAAGAAAAGACTGCGCAATTTTCAACTGCAAACAAGCCTGTCTGTAATTTAAGTTCCGCAAGAGCTTATCAACTTCGTTCACACTTCACAGACACTGTGCTCTCCTCATTAGTTACTGACTTACTTCCCAAGATGCAGAGGAAGAGAGAGAAAGAGAGACAAAGAGGGGTTTTGGTATTTCAGGAAGACTGGAGGATGAGAAAAACAGTATACGCTAAGGAAAACCGCTTCGTTGACTGGTTTCTCAGCTCCTTCTTGGAAGTAAACTGGAAACCTCTCGCTTCCTCTCTCTCTCTCTCTCTATTTTCATAATTCATAAATGTTGACTTGACTTGGACCTGCACTCCTCAGAATCTCGGATCACTCTTTTCTACGGGCGATTGATCGGACTAGTTCCATTGGTCATCTATCATAATCTTGTCTCCAGCAAGCAGGTTCACCATCGTTCCGAACTTCCGATACAGCACCATATCGGCGTATCGTATAATGTCAGCGGATACATACCGATACGGAAACGTATCGACTTCGGTTTCAACAACCGAGCATCTCACAATAAAAAAGAAGGATGGCATGACTTGAACCCAGATTGGTCAATGCCCTTGCGCATAAGGCCCACCTTCAACCATAAAGCCACTTCTCATTTCACGTCAAATAAGTATAACAAACTGATTTTTATTAAAATTAATATCTACTTGCAAATAACAAAAAAAAAACATACATTTATTTTCAACAACTCCAACCGCAAATTAAAAAGAATAATAAGTATTTTAAAAATCAATGGAATAAATAATGATAAAATGATATATATATATATATATATCAAAAAATGAATCTTAATTTTAAAAATTAATACAAATAAAATATTAATAATAGAATAATTAATTTTTGAGAGTAATAATAGAATTATTATTTTAATACTCAAAATTGAACATTTTGCATATGATATATATCTTAATTTTTTAATAAATTATTAATTAATATATTATTTTGCATTGAATAATAATTTATTTATTATTTACAGAAATAAAAAATATTGTTTACAAAGTATTTGAAAATATAATATAAATTTAATCTATCAAGTCCATTAATGTGCATTTTATTCAAAAATATTTTTTTAATTTAGAAATTATTTAGAAATAAACTATCAATAATGGAATAGTTATTATTGTAATTAAAACTTATGAAATTTCATATGAATCTATGCTTTCTTCTCTTTATCTCTGTTTTACTTTCATTTTGGGTGCCACACGAATCTTTCAACAGCTTCATGACTTTTTTTTTTCATGACTGTCTATACAGGGCTTACATTCCAATGCTAGAAGCCATGAAAAAGCCCTACCAAACGAGCACTAAGACAACCTCAATTTCAATCCATGTTTTTTCAGATTTTTTTTTCCAAACATGGCTTCAAGGCTTTCCTTGTTTTTCAACTCATGTAATATTGAAAGTTTCCACATGAAAGCCCTCCCAAATGAACACCAATTAAGTTAACTTAACAACCTATCTATCTTAAATGAAATAAACTTAATAAAATTAATATAACTATATAGATAAAGAAAATTTTCATTAATGGAGTTAGTAAAAAATATAAATTAATAAAATATTAATTTATAATTATTTGAAAATAAATTATAAATAGTAAACATTAATAAAATTTAATTTTATAAAAATAAAAAATTATAAATCTAAAATCAATATAAGTTGCATTTAAAATAAAAAATCAAAAAGATTAATGAAAACAATATGAATTTATTTAACAATAATAAAAATAAACAAAATTGGTTTTATTTATAACATTAACAATCATTTTGGTACCTTGTTTCAGTAATTCATAATAAGGGTAAGGACGATGTCACCCAAAGAATTAGAACAAGTTGGAAAAAATGGAGGTAGGGGTGTTCATTCAGTCGGTTCGGTTTGGTTCGAAAATATAACCTAACTGACATTTCAGTTAGGTCATTTTCATGAATCAAACCAAACTAAAGTGAATTTAAATTAGTTTAGTTTGGTTTTAATTCGGTTAGATAAGATATAAATGTATTTTATATTTATCTTAATAACTATTATTCAAATATATCAACATTTATAATTAAAATGCATATTGTATATTATAATTAGTATAAATAGTGTTAATATATGTTAACATTAATATTAATATGAATATTTATAATGGAAATATGTATTTATTTTGGTTAATTCTGTTTTCGGTTCAATTCAGTTGATTTCTTTTCTCAAACCGGAATATAAAATTGAAATAACCAAACCAAATTAGCTTATTCAATTCAGTTTTCAGTTTGGCAACAAAATTTAAACAACCCTAAATCGAGGGGTGCATTTGGACTATTGTGTGAAGGTGAATATCACTTTGATTAAAAGGAAAATTCTATAAACAGTAGTAAGATAAGCTATGTTATATGGAGTAGAGTGTTGGGTGGTCAAGAAACAGCATGCATAGAAGACCATTTTTGCTTATTGGTCATGGGTCATTGGTTTGTATGTGTGTGTGTGTGTGTGCGCTTAGGTTTTCTGACCAATGCAATGGTTTTTTGACCTTCTCCGAGTTTTACTCAAACTGGACCCAAAATCTTGACCGGGTGACAATTTGAGCAGTTTAATCGATTGGGTCAACGGTGGGTTGAAAGCATTGAAAAAAAAGTGATTTGTTACAAGTGGAAGGGACTAAAAGAGCTAGAGGTAGACTTAAAAGGACATGGATAGAAGTAGTAAGAAATGATTTAAACACTAATAATATAACAAACCGATAGGGCTTTAAACAGAACGAATTGGCAAAAATAGGATTCATGTAGCCAACCCCTTATAGTTGAGATAAGGCATGGATGGTGATGACAATGATGAACAAAATTAACAATCACTAAAATATTATTAGTTATACAATTATTTTTTAATTTAAACTCTATAAAAAATTAATAGAATTTAATAAATGTCAATAAAATTTAACATGGAAGTGCAACTTAAATTGTAGTTAGACTAGCTAGACATAAACTAGAAAATAATGTATGAGTTGGAATTGGATTGGATCAGCTAAATTGGAAATGTCATTATGTTCATCAACTTCAATTTTTTAGGAAAAAATCCCGATTAGTACCCTATACTTTGGGTCTAGTACCACTTTGGTCTCCAAACTTTAAAATGTGACAATTCAATTCCCAAACTTTCAAAACATGCCCACTTAGTGCTTGTCGTTAATTAGCCGTTAAGTAGCATGTGAAAAGACACAAATGCCCTTTAGATGTCATCTAATTTTCTTTATCAACCACCCAAATGCCCAAATCTCTCAGAAAAATTTTATCTTTAGCTAGATCCCTAAAAACTTGGGGACATGTTGGTGCCTTACCAAAGTAAGGTTGGGGCAAAATTACTTGAATGAAAGATTCCCATGGCTTCCTTTACTTACATGAGAATGTAGATTGTGAGTGTACTTCTAGACAGTGGCCACAACTTTATTTGTATGAGAAGGATAACTTGTTCTCTCAGTTCCTTATTTACGGGATATTCCCTAAAAGTCAAAGAGTGACCACTGATAACTATAAGTTAGGAGATAAGGTAAAGTAGAGATAAGAGAGAGTGAAGTGAGATCCAGATCTGTTAAGGACTTTATTTGAAACATACTCTAATACGCCCCTTAAGTGAAATGTCCAAAAAGGACATGAATGTTGGACTAGAGATAAACAAAATGAGTACCACTAACCAATTTGGTCAGAAGATCCACGACCTCTAATCACCGAAGGATATGAATTGAACTAAGAGAGAACGTTTGAACATAAGATCCCTCAAGAAATGGAAGTCGATCTCCATGTGTCCCATACGAACACAGAATAAAGGATTGGCTACAAGATAGATAGCACTAATATTATCACGCCAAATAATTGGTTCTTAGAGCTCCAAGCAACCAAGTTTCATCCTAAATAGATGACATAACCACTAGTAGAATGTCGATCATTGGGGAAACCAGCCTAATTAGCATCAAAGAAAGCCTAAAGAGTGAGAGTAGCTAAAGTCGAGTAGAAATGAACTCATGATCAGTTGTGTGCTTGAGGTACAGTAAGATCTATTTCAAAACAGCACAGTATTCCATCATCAGAAAGTGAAGAAACTAACAAACTTTGTTGGCAGAGAATGAGATGTCTGGCCATGTAATAGTAAAATACTGGATCACACCAACGATACTCTAATACTCTGAGGGATCCAAGAGAGAGTCACCACTAAACTTAGAAAGTTTAGACTTCATAGCCATAGGGGAAGTGAGAGGTTTGACCTCAGCCATGTTAGCATGCTTCGGGAGATCCAAGATGTACCACCTTTGAGTTAGAGTAATTCCAATGAGGTTGAGCCATTATCTCCATGCCAAGGAAATAGTGTGTTGTACCAAGATCTTTTAAGGAGAAGGTCCGGCCCAAAGAAGAAACAAGAGCATCAAGTGTAGACTATGAGGAGCCAGTAAGGAGTATGTCATCAACATAGATGAGCATGTACATGGTGACCGAGCCCTTTTTATAGATAAACAAGGAGGGATTGGATGTTGACATGTGAAACCCCAATAGGAGGAGATGAGAGCTGACATGAGAATACCATGCTCGAGGAGCCTGACAGAGGCTGTACAATGCTTTGTAGAGTTTACAAACATGGTGAGGGGTAGTGGAGTCCTCAAAATCTGTTGTTGATGAAAATAAATGTCCCTAGAGACATAACCATTGAGAAAAGCATTATCAAATCTTGTACAAGCTGAGTGCCACGCAGAGGAGGAGAGGGAACATCACCAAAAATAACACTATTTGTATGTGAAGACAGAGTAGCCAAACAAGAAGTCAAGCAAGAAGATAGGGGCCGGTTTAGCACATTGTGGAGAAGGCATGGTTGGCGTCGAACAAGGAGCTAGAGAAGTCTGGCATTATAGAAATAGTAACCCCTGTGTGATTATCTAAAGATAGAGAAGAAGTTGGAAGAATACCTAGAAAGTAACTCTCATCAAAGATGGCATGTCAACCAATATAAAGCCGACCAAAGGAAGGGTGAAAACATTTATATTCTTTGTGGAAGTTGCTATAGCTGGCGAAGATGCAATGAAGCAACCGGAAGGAGAACTAATTGCAATTATGCAGCCAAAGTAGGGGATAGAAGGCACAACCAAAAGTGTGAAGCATTGTATAATTAGGTGTGGTGTCGAATAGTGTTGCAAAGGGAGACTGATTGTATAACACCATGGTAGGAACCTAATTAATCAAATAAATAGATTTAGAGGTTGCATCGTCCCAGTAAGTGAAGGGGAGAGCTGAGGACACCAATAGAAACAGGGTTGGGTTGATGGTGTGGTGATGTTTTCCTTCAGTGGCACCATTTTTTTCA